GCAATACAGGAACCCACCGTCTCTTCTGTCATCCAGGGACAAGTACTTCTGCTCCTGGAAAAGGAATCGATTTTTAACCGTTTCGGAAAGGATGGGACAAAATGGGATACAACAAATCTGGATGAAATCAAACATAGACCATCTGTCTCTTAACATTCTATTAGATTTCATAGATCATCTTTATACCATTTCAGACAATCACTGGATATCTATGATATCTCCCTTGTAGCAGCGTTCAGCGAAAGTGACGCTGCATGGAATCATGAAAGCTGCAAAGGGCTTGAAGTCGACTTCAGGTTGCCAAATTTGAGGTTCCACTACTGGTTGGTGGTATACCTACCCCTCTGAAAAATATGAAAGTCAGTTGGGATTATTCTTCCCAAGATATGGAAAAGTAGAAAATGTTCCAAACCACCAATCAGAATATAAATTTCATAAATGTCCACAACTCATCCTATGGTTTCTGACATCAAAACCTTTTTCAGAACCATCGAAAAGCAATGAACTGAAGCCCTCCCGTCCTCCACGTTATAAAACCGCGACCAGCCATTTACCATGCGAAGCAACTTCCAGGAGCTTGGAAATTGGAGCCTAAAGGAAAGGAAAAACATGGGAGAAGCGGTAAAGAAGGCCAGTGGAATCGGGAGTTGGCCATGTTCACCAACATGTTTTTTTCTTATTGTTTGATTCAAATTTCATAAAATGAGGACTTGAATACCTAAAAATGGAGAGGTCTGAGTGGGTAGAGATTGGGGCCCGAAACAAGGACAAAAAAACGTTGCATCTGCTACTTCAACAAACCAAATGACAAATAAAACCAGATAGAATATAGAATGCTCCCCGAAGTCAAAATCATCAGAAATGAAACACCATATCAAACAGTACCATATCATATATAATCCTTAAAAACACATCTAACAATAAAAAAACATCTAACATCATATAAATCGATGGTTTCCCAACACCTTTGGCATCATGTTCAACGTTTGGCCCAGGTTGCCCGAAACGTTTGGGCCCTGACATCGAGGCCAAATCTCCATTGCAGCCTGGGGATAAAATCCCCACTGAAAGCGTTGAAGAAACCGTGGGAATCTAGAAATAATGACTATGATTCGGGGAAAACCATGAATCTAGGACTAGACATATATTTATATGTTATTATATGTATATATTATGTCTTATTACATTATGAATAATGACATAATATGAATCTGGGACATGAACCAAACATCTAGGAATGATCTGAAATTGAATGATTTAAGCACTGACTCAGAACTGACGTGATGCATATCGGGGTTAGTGTAACCCCAATCATCATCATCATCATCATCATCATCAACCACCAAGAGTTCTAGGAATTTGTCAAAAGTTGCGGCATTCAACCAAACAAATTGGCATCTGGACTGATATGGGGTCACGAATCGACTGGGGAATCCCAAGAATCGGAAAAAAACGGAGGAACCCTACCAACATGTTTGGAAACACCTAACTTTGTGCTGATTGATGTTTGCAAGTTCTAAAAAATATTCATCTCGAGACCCGAAATAAATCAACTGATCTTGGTTCCATCATGGTTTTGGGGTTTTAGTTTCACATTCTGTCAACCCCGCTCTGTTCTTCTAGGCCAAAGTTCCCAAGAAATGTTGCTCTTGCATTTCGTTGATCCTGGCGCGCAAACAACATGATATTTTCGGCGGGGGAGTAAACAAAAATCGGGGCATTGAACAAGTCCCTTCGGGAAAATGTTGGGTGGGGTTGTATAAAATAACGTAAGCTAATTTTCTATGTTCAATCAAAGGTCGGAAACTTGAGTGGATCTACATGTAATTATCTAACCTGATAGAGCACAGCATCATGAAACTTGGCCCGCAAACCATCTTGAAATGATTTCCCATTCAACCCGCTTCGTCATGTCCTGGGGAAGGAGGTGAACACCGGTGTTTACCCAACCGTTTGCATTGTGCAAACCACATAATCAGTGGAAAACCAAAAACACAAAATTTTCTGGTCATTATGGGAAAAAGCCGTAATGATCAGTTTTTTGGGAAAAAAACATAATGTTTTTTACCTGTAATGACCAACAAAAAATGGTCAAATCAAAAGAACATTGCAGTCCTACCCTACCCGTAGCCAAATCGCATTTTTTAAACATTTTATTGAAAAAAAAACGTAAAAACCTTAAAACCGTAGCAGGTCTTTCGACATTTTGTTGCAAAAAGGCCGTGAAAAAGCCGTAGCAACTCTCACACAAGTGGCTCCAGACGATCAAAGCCGTAATGACAAAAAAATTGGCTTATGGCTTTCCAGGTGTATATATATATATACTCGGATATAGCAGTTGGGTATATACAAGTAATATCAAATATATAGGATGTGCGTGTGTCCATTTAAATATTCTGCATAGTATTGAAACATATTGAACCATAAAACATATTTAAGTACGTAATTATGTGTATATATATACAGTATACATTATATATATATATACATAATTATATATATACATAATCATATATATATATATATTCAATTATGTTCACACTGTATATTGATGTCGCCCAGGATATTTACATTTATACTTTATACATTTATACACTTAAAATCACTTAAACCTTTCTTTCGCCATAATGTCAAAGTCATGCAAAGTCCGCAAATCGCTGATTTTACACCGCCACTTTGGGCTACCGCCAGATCTGTTGCAGATTCATCCAGTGAGTGCTTTGACCCATCTGTTGGCTGATCGGAATCCCTTCCTCTTACTAGGAAGAAAAACGCAAAGGAAACCCAGGTTTCGGATGCTTTAGCATTGGGTCTGTTCATTGCGGTAACATGGAGATGGGCCCACCTGGTAGCTGCGAAGCCAGCGTCGGTCTCAGGGTTTCTTCGCCAAGTAGATCTGATAGCACACGGCAAAAGCCACTGAAAATCCACCTGCATAGATCAGATATGGCCTGGTTGCTGGTTTCTATCCAAACAGGTCCAAAAGAGCAAAAAATATGAAGTGGCAAATGGGCGTTCTCCTCCCAATTTAATGGTTGACCATGGTTGACCATACTGAACTTTACCATATTTTGGAAGCAATTTCCCCATTTCCAGACAAACACATTACATCACATTACCATCTGCGAATCAAACATGACGTGCTGGAAAATCCATCATTTATATAGTTCAATGATTCTTCCATGTTTTGATCCATTCAGTGTGGGCATTTCCGCTATTTTTGATTACCAGAGAGTACGTATGCCAAATGAAGGTTTCCTAAAATGGGGCTACCCCCAAATCATTAGTATTGAAACCTATGGTCTTGGGGATCCTCCATTTTAAGAACCCCCCAACTTTTAGGGACACAAAAAGTTCAGCTTTGACGCCCCAGTGGCCCCAAGTCCGTCTGAGCCGTGGCAAATGCTAAGACCATCCACACCGCCACGTCGCGCGCCACCTGCGATCCAAACTCGCGGCGCCGATCCGCCTCCTTCGGGATCAAGGGCCACCCATGGGATGTAGAAAGGGCCCAGCTTCACACATGGAATCATTTTTGGATCCCCTGGTTCACAGAAAAAATATGGGTTGGTTTTTCATATCTGGGCTGGTAGATGTTCATTTGCCCCACAGAGGTATAAAAGGATCGAATCCATCACCATTTCAAGGAACATTGTGTTTCGTGGGAACCACAGGTGTATCACCTTTAGGAGCCTCATGTGGTTTAAGCAACTGAGACAATTCCAGGAAGGACCCCTCCAATCCGCGGGTGTATAGGTTTGTGGATGAACAGCCCATGCCTCCATAGGTGTAACATTTATGTAATATTCACAATATTGTTTTTGGTCAATAATAAACTGTTTTGCCATTCAAACCCCCGTTTACATGCTCGTCAGTCGGGATCTTCCTATTCGTTCAGTTGAAACATGTTGAAACCCATCCCCCACATCTGGACGGGGGTCGTTGGTGCCTCAGTGGACACCAGTTTTGGAGGTCGGTCGCCCAGGAATGTGAGGCCGTAAAGGGACAGGACTAAGATGGCCCTCAGTGGTCATTGTGTCACTGCTCAGCGTGTCACCATGTGTCACATTGGGCATGGCACTCCAAGCCCTGAAAAAACCCTGGGGAAACAGACAGAAAAATGTAAAAAAGAAATGGTTTATGAAGAATATGATCTTTAAATAGTGAGTGGATTTTCCACATCGGTGTTAGTTTGGGGATAACCTATTGATCATTGGGATCGTTTACCAGGAAAGCTGCAGAGAACCATAGCTTCAACTGTCTCCCTCATGAGACCCAGCATGTCATTACATAACCTGTTTGTGGCTGTTGCGCAACTGGGAACCTCCCATCCAATCTATAGTTATTTATATCATATACATTCATATACAATCTATAATATATATATAATATACAGTGTCATATCATGTACACCAGCTCCCTGCAAACAGTCAGGTTGCAGGAGCGTCGCCCGCACGCTTAGAGGGCGCTTCTGGAAGTGCAGGCGCTTCCGGATCTTCCGGAAGCCCATGGCTTTCAATGAAAGGTGACAAACCCTTCACTTGTCTTGCAGTTGTTAGTTGACTTGTCTTGTCCTCTCTAAATGCTTCTGGTTTTGATTGCTCGGTTTAGACTCTGAGACTCACAGCAACTCCTCCATGGATTAGATCATTTTTGAAGGGCTCTACAACGGCTACCATGGCTAGGTGGGTACCTTCACAACATGCGGTGCATTGTATGCTGAGCTGCTGAGATATTAAAGAGGAACACACTTAGAGGCTGAGTTGCTGACAAGTCAAACACATTGTCCCTGTCTGTTGGTGAAGTGAGCTGTGAATATACTCCTCCACGAAACAAGGGGTGAAATAAGCATGCCCAAAAGGACCAACATCTGCTGAGCAATGCAGAATCGCTTTTGCTTGGGTCGTCTTCTAGTTTAATATAATAAGTGATACTAAGTGTTTCAATCATACTTTAATTGGGATTGTGGACCAAACTTCTTTAGATTTGTGAATGATCTCTGGACAATTCTGGATATTTTGGAAACATATTTTTCTGAAAACCAATCCAAACCACCAGCTCTGCTGCCGGCGAAAAGCTGCGGGAACTCCAAATGCTTCTGACACAGTAATCAAACATGGCTAGCCGGAAAATCCACCATCTAGTTCCATGATGTTCATTTAATTGATAAGTAATGCTAGTTATTGCTAGTTAATGACAAATTGGATGATATTAGATGTCAAGTGTTAAATTTTTGTTTCCGGGATTTTCAGAGATGATATCAACTGTCCAGGCGTCCAGCCCGCCTGGTAAAAAGGAAGCCGTCCACTGATTCGGAAATCGTCCACTCTACCAGCTCCTTAAAAGGGTGGCACCACTGCCCGGTTTCGCTGGCTTCTGTGGAAAGCTCCCTGTTTTTGTTGACAAATCCAAGAGACATTCTGTCCTTTTCGGAGAAATCGAAGGGCCAAATTGATACAGTATCTATGATCATGGACCTTTTGGTTGAATGCGGGGGGGGAAGCCACTATATTAATCGACCAGTGGGAAAAGAACATCTGGAGGTTTCCTGAGTCATGGGGGTACCCCTAAATCATTCATTTTAATAGGATTTTCCATTATATATATATAAACAATCCAATTGGGAGTACCCCCATTTTAGGAAACCCCTGTCCGGGATGGCACTGGGCGGGATGTGCTGTCAAACACTGAAGGTAAGCATCCTGGGATATCCTGGGACCCCTAGCCTCATTTTGGTGACAAACGTATCAACGAGCATGGTGGCATTCCACGACTTCGTCTCCAAAGACAGGGTACAAATCATGACAAATCCAGCAATCCCACCAGTTTTCCCGATCATTGCATCAATGTTTGACCCATATGATTGCTTAGTCATTCACCGTTGTGGCCACTTGAATCTGGACAATGAATGATGATGAATCGATGGAATCGATGGTTCATCCTATTTTCAGACCAACTCAATTATTGGTTACATCTCACATGAAATATCCCCATGTTTTATGGTTGGTTGTTTTATAGTTCTATAACCCATGTTTGATGGTTAAAATCCCTAATATTTTCATGTGTTTTTTTTTCATGTTCCCATCCAATTGGAAATATATTACTAAACACACCACTGGCCTGTGGCAACTCTTGCTCGGGCAGTTGGACCGAGCCTGGCTATTTTAAGGGGTGACACCGGGGCTTTCTACGGGTCTTGATGCATAGCCATGTATACATATAATGTATGTATGCATTATATATACATATTATGTCTATATGTACAGTGTCATATATGTGTAATGCTATCTAATTGGTTTTAATTGTATGTATGTATGTATGCATGCATGCATGCATGGATGGATGGATGCATGCATGGATGGATGTATGGATGTATGGATGTATGGATGTATGGATGTATGGATGTATGGATGGATGTATGCATGCATGCATGCATGCATGCATGGATGGATGGATGGATGCATGCATGGATGGATGTATGGATGGATGCATGCATGGATGGATGTATGGATGTATGGATGTATGGATGTATGGATGTATGGATGTATGGATGTATGTATGTATGTATGGATGTATGCATGGATGTATGGATGTATGCATGCATGTATGAATGTATGTATGTACGTATACATATCCAAACAAAAGACATATCGTATATCATCATTGAATCATCATACATAGGTATGTGCGATTGGATCTCAACTCATATCGTCCATATTCATATGGTCATTGACTTGCAATGATTGCAATGTGGGAATAATTTCAGGACCTGTGAGGCACCACTGCTAGTCACATTGCTTGCTGGTGCCCTCACTTTCTGGTGTCCATAATTTGATGTTTAAGCTGTCAAATCGTCAAGTTCGTATCAATGTTTTTGCAAACAGAAATATAATGTTTATCCGCCGACCCCGGCCGATGCAAGGGGGAGCGCGTAAGGGAAGAAGATGGAAGAAAAGGGGTCCCCTTCCCACCGGTCACGTAACAACAACAACAACAACAAGAACGACAAC